CTTTCAGTAGCAAGTGTCCAGGTCATGTTTGGAAAACGAAGGAGGTAAGCTAGAGGGCCTCTGAAACTCTTTAGGCTTCCACTCTGTATTCTTTTAACATTGGATTAAGTTTGTATTTCTGAAAACATTTGTTGTTCTAAAAGACCCTAGTGAAGAGGTTAGGAACTGAAGGACATTGAGAATCCTCATCCAAATCTTGGAAGGAGAGGCAATTTGTCCATGGGTATGGAATGACTCACTGAGATGTGAGCTTTTCATCTTTGTATCACCATTAGAGTATCATGAGATCTGAAACATAATTTACGATTTGAAGGCACAAAAGCATGTTTAGGCATTTAGTTTTCTTTGTTTCTGAATGTTATTTAAATTTTTAATTATCAGTTTCTTTAGGTTTTATTTTCATATATTATAAAAGTCTATGTTATGGCTGGGACAAATCGATGGTTTCCTCACTAAAGCAAGTGGCCAGATGGATAGGAACAGGAATTAACATAAAAAAAAAGGGGTGAGTGGTTTGAAGCACTATCATATCTTGTGTTTCAAAATGAGGTGGATTCTCTTTGAGCAGACATTCCTGACATAAAGACAGAAAAACTTTAAAAAATAACAACAAAAAATAAAATCCAACAGAAAGATGGAACAAGAAGCCAGGGAAGGTAGAGATGAATGGTGAAATTGTATGTAATGCAAGAAGAAAGAAGATTTTGGTATCAAAAAAGCTGGGCACTAAGTATATAACTGAGTTGCCTAACCTTAGTAAATGTAAATGTAGAAATATTTCCTGAAAAGAGGGCCAGTAAGGCTGATGTTGAAATGAGGCCAGTGAAGTGAGGAGCACTTTGCGAAGTCCAGAGTTGGACTGGTCCTTCAAGACTAGAAGGCCTCCTATGGCTTGTATTGTGATACTTTAAGTCTCTGAGAGGTAAAATTTGGAGCCTGGTATTTGAATTTGCTATATATTAAAATGAAAATAAGCAACATCATAGCCAATAGGATAAAATATAATTCAAGGAATTAAGATGAGAACCTACCATAACACTCATGATTATACTGTAATCAAAAATTAAACGTTGTTATAAAGATACTCTCTTTATCCTCTCATCATTAGTTCCATAGTCTTTCCTTATCTGCCAGCTTTATGCCAAGAGTTATAGAGTCTGAAGACAGCTGAGTATAGAATAGGGGGGAACATGAGTTGGTGCATAATATAGAGTAGCAACAAGAAACATATTTACAGAACAACTATACAATTGAGAAGTACTCTTACAGCCTATTAGCTGCTAATTTGCTGATTATTTATCATGGAAGCTTTTTAAACCTAACTAATGCACATATTTAAATTTAAATAGTAAGCAGTGTGCTTCTGTAAGAAAGCACTTAAATTTTATGCAGTGGCTTAATAGAACGATTGTGAAAGCAAATATAGAAAGCCATAAAGCTGGAGATCCCTGTTTATTATGGCAAAAAATTTGATAAAACTGTTACCTGTTTAGCTTTTTGAGTTCTTTATATACCCTAGCGATTAGTGCTCTATCTGATGGGTGAGGAGTAAAAATTTGCTCCCAAGATATAGGCTTTCTATTCACCTCAGAGAAGCTAAACACCAAAACAAAACAAAACAAAAACAAACAACCCAATAAATAGACAGATACTTTTCAGAAGATGATATACAATCAATCAACAAATATATGGAAAAAAATGGTCATCATCTCTAGCAATTAGAGAAATGCAAATCAAATCAAAACTAAGATTTCATCTTACCCCAGTCAGAATGGCAGCTATGAAGACAAACAACAATAAGTGTTGGTGAGGATGTGGGGGGAAAGGTACACTTGTACATTGCTGGTGGGACTGCAAATTGGTGCAGCCATTATGGAAAGCAGTATGGAGATTCCTTGGAAATCTGGGAATGGAACCACTATTTGACCCAGCTATCCCTCTCCTTGGTCCATACCCAAAGGACTTAAAACAGCATACTATAGCGACATAGCCACATCAATGTTTATAGCAGCACAATTCACAATAGCTAAACTGTGGAACCAACTTTCAATAAATGAATGGCTGAAAAAATGTGGCATATATACACAATGGAATATTACTCAGCAATATAAGAGAATGAAATCATGCATTTGCAGGTAAATGGATGGAGTTAGAGAAGATAATGCTAAGAGAAGTTAGTCAATCCCAAAAAACCAAATGCCAAATGGTTTTTCCAATATAAGAAGGCTGATTCATAGTGGGGTAGGGAGAGGGAGCACGGGAGGAATAGACAAACTCTAGATAGGGCAGAGGGTTTGGAGAGGAAGGAAGGGGGCAGGGGTTAGCAATGATGGTGGAATATGATGGACATCATTATTCAAAGTACAGGTATAAAGACACAAATTGGTTTGAATATACTTTGTATACAACCAGAGATATGAAAAATTGTGCTCTATATGTATAATAAGAATTGTAATGCATTCCACTGTCATATATAAATAAAAAATAATTTAAAAAACTTGTTACTCTGATAATTTAGAAGGCATATCAAGTTCCTAATACATCCGTATATTTTGAGAAACTTGCTGGAAAGAGACAGTGTATTAGGATGTGTTATTTGTCTCTTTATGCTTTACAAATGTACTATGAAAAGATAAACTAGTTTTCAAACATAAATGATAGACACTGATATTACGTGATTGAAAAAACTCACCAATATTTTCTAAAGTTCAAGTATTAGTAACTAAGACTGACACTGCTTTGAAGGCATAAGGACCATATAAACTTTTCAGATAGAAAAGAATATTCAATTTTAGGACCATATAAAAGTAAGGACATTTCCCTTCAATGCACACCTATTGTTTTTATTTACCTCAATGTGTTGGAAATTGAATTATTTGTTTATTTAGTGAGTAAGGATCAGGCAAAAAAATCAAGGGGAAAACAGTAGCAATAAATATTGAGAAATATCTAATAAAAACTTTTGGTTTTGGTTTCTGACCACCAAACTGACTATTAAAAATGATGAAATTTTCACGGGAACCATATTTCTTCTACATTTTTGCTAAGAAATACATAAACCTAGTCACAGAATAACTTATGACTGTGAACTAATATAGCTCATATTTCCAATTGCCAAAATTGGAAGCAACCTCAAAAAGTTAAACAGACTTCCAACCCCTAAACAGGACATCCCCGCTGTACGCTCACAATGGATAAAGCCAAGCACAATGGAGGACAATGGAAAATATGGTTCCTTACAGATGTCCAAATCTAGGTCTAACCAAGGAGCAGGGTAGAGTTCTTCACAATCACTGTACAGTAGGATTCTCTCATAGAATGGATCAGTGACTACTATGTTTTCCCATTCCCACTTCATTGAAGGAGTTTTCATGGGTCACATCATTTTCTGTCCCATAATTGTACACTAAGTTGTTTGTATTAGTGAAGGATGAAGCAAGTTTGTCATGTTAGTTTATATATCACTAAACTGTAAGTAAACATTTTTAGAATATAAAGAAGAAGACAGCATATTACTTAAAGACGCTGGACTTCTTTCTCTCTAAGAGGAGAATAGATATGTTTGTTCTACGACTAGAAAGAGAAATACAAATGGTTAATTTGTGTCAAGAAAAGATTATAGCAAACACTGCTGGCTATTCACAGAATCCATTTCTTGTTATTTTCTGGGCACAGAGTCAGATTAGTTAGGCATACCTATGTGCCTGAGTAGCATCCAATGGAATGTAAGCAGAAATGATTTATACAACGTATAAGTATGTCCCTAAAAATATCTTATACTTGAATTTTCAGAAATCTTCTCCTCTCATCTGCAGTATTCAGGGTTCCTCTAGGACCAAAGAGAGTTCCTCTTATTGAAGCTCCACCCAGAGGAATGAAAACTTGGGTTCTAAATTGCTGCATGGAAGAAAGCCTCCTCTCTATACATGGGTAAGTAGGAGACAATAAACAACAGTGCTTAAGAGCATGGACTTTAGATTCATATGTGAGTGCTAATGCCCCCACTTTTGTGAATTCATGCACATCAATATCTTCCCAAACCTCTATTTTCTTAAATGTGAAGAAACATGAATAATAGTACTTCTTTTAGAGTTATTCTGAGGATTGGATCTTGAACCTATTATCTTTCATATATTACATTATTCATTTTGCTTGTTATCTGAAAGATGCAATAAGGTAGTGTTTTTAATTTTTGTATGATTTATTTTATACTTTTTCCCCAGAGCTTACACCAGGGTATAATTTTCAATAAGGAGTCCAAATTATGTTTAAATATGTGAATGAAATACTTATCAAGGTCTGTAATACATAGAAGATTAAATAATTACTTCCTGTTATCACTGCATTGTTATTATCTAACTTATATTTTGTTTTCACAAAATCATAATAATTTCTTATAATTTATTTATTTAAGATTTAATAAATTTAAGAATTTATTATTGTCTTTTTATAATAAGTATTATTGTAAACCATTGTGTAATATAAGTAATTTTTATTTATTTAGTGAGGCATAATATAAATGAGAAAATACACTGCTTTTCATTGTTTATCTCTTTTTGAAATATAATAATTAATAGTAGTATCTAATGGTTATATTTATTTAATAAAGGTCCATTAAAGCATTATAATAGTGTGAGAAAACTTGGTTCTAAATTAGCCTTACATAGCACCATAACCATTAATGGAAGATAGTTATACTATAGTTTTAAAAGTGATTCATTTTTGAGACTCCCTGAAGCAATATGATGAACAGCAGCAGTTTTCAACAGTGGCCCTAATAATTCAGGGTAGTTAATTCATGCTTTGTGGGTGGTAGGGCACTGTCTATATTTTAGGATGTTTAGGATCTTGCCTGACTCACTAGATGCCAGTAGCACCCTTTGTTCCTTGTGTGACAATCAAAAATATTTCATCCATTGTCAGAAGTCTCTGAGAAATAAGATTGCCTTTTCTTTTCTTTATTTTTATTTATTCATTTCATACATGACAATATGAAATGCATTACATTCAAAATTATCCATTCACAGCACAATTTTTCATAACTCTGTATATAAAATATGTTCACACCAAGACTGCCTTTTCTGGAGAACCACTGATGTATGGTTTTCATGCATTCCGTTTTCAAGTAGTTACCTGAAAAATATGTATGATGTCATTAAAATTTATGTATTAAACATTACTCTGTATCTGACACAGTTCTGTGCACTGGAACCACAGCAGTGAGTAAAAGAGAAAATTCTTTTGTAACAAAGCTAATCTTAGAAGAAAATAGAGAATAAATAAAAAACCAAAATGATATATAATACAAATATATTATATATTTGAGAGGTGATATGTAGAAAATAAAGCTAAATGTATGGATTATTATGTGTCTTTTATTTTCAATATGTTGATGCTGTAACATCGGAAGCCTTGCTGACCCTAGGACTGTTTTCTAAGGGTTAATTAATTCTTAGAGAAAATAAACTCATGCATATGTACTGTTCAAATCCAAACGCATCAGTTCAGAGCCCTCATACTCACACACCTTGTCTGTTGGACTCTTATACCCCTGACCACCATCCACACACCCTGCTTACCTCTGGGTCAAATACCAGACAACTAGCACAGCGACTATGCTCCAGACTTTATTGAAATTATTATTAAAACTAATCTATCCTAAACCTGTTTTTTTCTGCTTGGCCCATTCTGATTTTCAGAAATCATCATAATGATTACACTTTCTCATTTTCCTTTTGCTTCTTGAGTGACCCTGGTGCTTCACTGTGTGGTCCCATAGTTTGTTTCCTCTCCTCCCGGAACCATGAGTAATATGCTTATCTTTTTGATGGAAATTGTCTCCTGACCTGTTAGCCTTATTATACTTCAAATTTTCTAAGAATATACTATATTTTAAAAGAAGGACAAACAGTAATAAGTGCTGTATTTTAGATGGGGTAGTCTGGAAAGATTTCTCTGAGGAAGTGGTATTTGCAAAGGAAAGACAAGAAATTAAATGAACTGTGACTGTACCTAGAGTCAGTGTTTCTGGCAAAGAAATCACAAAGGCAAAAATCCTGAGATATGAGCATGTGCACACTTAAGCAAAATAAAGGAGCCCAGGGTGACAGTTGCATAAGAAGATGGGGGGCAGCGGAAGAAGCTGGTGAGGTATATAGGGACCACATGACTTAAGTGTCTGATAGCCATTGTCAGGTCTCTGACTTTTAGTTTGATTATGCAAGGCATCTGAGGCAGGCCTGCCTGCAGGGAAGTACATAATAGGTTACACTTTTAAAAGTTTTCTAAGGGTGCTATTTAGAAAATACTGTAAAAAGAAAGAGTGGAAACAGGGGGAGCTGTCTAGTGGTCAGAAATTATTACAGCTTGAACTAGGGGAGCAGCTATGGAGGTGGATACATTTGAACAGAGAGCCAATAGGATGAAGGAGTTTTTCTGACCAACTGGGTTTGCTGTGTGAGAAACCAGTTCAGGGCAGGCTAAATTTGAGGTGCCAATTCAAGACATACATACTATTTAATCTGTGTGTGTGTGTGTGTGTGTGTGTGTGTGTGTGTGTGTGTGTATCACTGGTGTCTCAAAGAATGGTAGAGGAGTAAAATAAAATTTTTGAGGTAATCAAGATATAGATAGTACTTAAAGCCACCAAACTGGATAAGATCAACTCCTGATTTTATATTCCGATTATAAATGTAAAATAAGAGTCAGCTGTGATTGTGCATGCCTGTAATCCCAGCAACTTGGGAGACTGCGGCAGGAAGATTTTAAGTACTTGGTCAGTCTCAGCATCTTAGTAAGACCATGTCTCAAAATAAAAAAAAAATAATAGAAATAGCTAGTTATGCAGCTTACTGATAAAATGCCTCAATCCCCAGTACCAAAATAAATAAATATAAAATAATAAATAAAAAATAAATATCATATTTAGACTTGAAAAATATCATAAGGAATAAAGAAATGAAAAAATCCCACATGATCAATTTCTTTGTAATTAGAAGCCAGGTTGAAAATAACTTTACTTGACTTCTCTAGACTATTGGAGGTCATTACCTTTTCCTTGCCAAAATGCAATTTATTGAAGGAGAGAATAAAAAATGTGGAAGAGTGATTACTTTTTTCCTTTTTCCCCCCCTTCAAAAGTTACATTTTTAGTCTCACATCATCAAATGAAAGATTATTTCTTTATTTACTGTATTGGGGATTGAACCCAGGGCCTTGCATTTGTTAGGCATATTTTGAATCAAGGTATTGCTAAATTGCCCAGATTTGTCTGAAGTTTCTTCCTGCCTTAGCTTTCCACATAGCTAGGATTACAGATACACATCAGCATCCCTGGCTAATTATGTAGTTTTAATTCTTAACCTGGCCTATTGTGGTCCTCTTCTTTTAAAAATATCTTCATTTTGGCAGGATACTAGATAACAGCACTCTAATGGTAGTAATGCATAACGTAATATTGATTTCAATTGGTCCATGTGGATTAGCATAATAATAGGTCAATTAAAAACTCCAACAACTAATCTTAAAAGTGCATTAGCAACATAAACACTAATGAGTTCTTCAGAGCCACTATTCTTTGCCTCTGTCATTGCCAGAGTGAGGCAGACTTACAGAGAATGTTTTACTTCTTATCTGAATCCCTTTCCTTGATTTATTCCTCCAGTTCTTGACAATTTCTCAATATAGATTCTGCAAAAATAAAGGAGAAGTAGTTTTATAAGAGAATTTAGAAAGGAAAGCTTAGGTCCATATGTAAAACTGGAAGGAGAAATCTAATTTTCAAGGGAATAACTATTTAGTTATCCCACACATTCATATACATAGATTCATAAAGACATACACAATATTCTGTACCATATTTTATAGCTAAAAAATGTCTGTTACTCATTTTGTTGCTTTTCTTCTCTGTTAAGCAGAGGGACGTTTTTAACTTTGTTGTGTATGTTGTTGAAGTATCTCCAAGTAATTTGTTAGTATCCTCCTGTTGAAATGCAGGACTCTTGACAAGCTGTCTCCTTTCACCAGCAATTGTTGTCAGGCAAGGTTAAGACATGTTTGAATTTGAGATGAAGATGTTTAATTTATAAATGAGCCAATTTGGTGTAGCTGGTGAAAAAATCCTTATAATTGCCAAAGAACTTTGCTGAAGTTAGAGACAGGTTTCCTCTAGTTGGTTGATATATGAAAGACCAATGTGTTTTAAAGTATCAAATCCGCAAACTGTTCTTTTGTTTTTGCTAAGGCAAAGACCCTAGTTTTAAGTAATCCATCAAATCTTTAGCCCTTTTCACTCCTTTTCAATACAAACACACGTAAATCATCTGTAAACACCTTCCGAATATACAATGTACTCTTTCTTTCTCTATTAGTCTCCTTGATAATTGAACCTTGAAGGTGCGTTAATATTAGCCCAATATCACTAATATGTTTTATGTATACAAGGCACAATTATTACACCATCATCCATACGATTGCTCTTATTATGATTAACAATTTCCATTACAATGATCACTGTACTAGTTGACCCTTAACAACTACTCACTATAGATACAAGCAGAGGTTGAATGTTTATGAGGAAGGTCAAAACCAACTCATAATACAAATTGTGAACATTGAGTTCCTGCTAAAATTTATCTTTCAGCCATATACTATTTCTACTAGAAAGAGGTGTAAAGAAGGGCAGAACAAGAGCCTGGATTTCAGGCACAGAAATATACAGACAGAAGGATTCTATATAGGAGTGTTGTATGCTAATCAATATCTTCCCCAACATTGTTCTGTAAACAATGACATTTTTTTTCTTTACCAGGAAGATGCTTTAATTTTCCCTGACTTGAGTACAATTTGTAAATTCACTATTTTAGTTGGCTAAAATTGTGATAGTAACGTACCCTTGATTGGGTGGTTTAAATATTAGAAACTTATCTTCAGAGTCTAAAAGCCAGAAATCAGAAACGGAGGTGTTAGGAGGATTAATTTTATCTAAGAGCCAAGAGGGACGGATTTGTTGGTGGCCATCTTTTTCCTATGTCTTGACATTGTTTTATCTTTGTACATGTGTGTTTAGATTTTCTCTTCTAATAAGGATGCCAATCATATTGGACAAAGGCTTACAAATGATTTCATTTTACCTTAATAACCTCTTTAAAGACCATGTCACATTGAGGTACTGGTAGTTACGACTCAACATATAAAAAATTGGGGGAAGGCATGTAATTTAGCTCATAATTCCCACTTTCTTGTTATTTTTTTGATCACTTATAGTATATATCATGCATAATAAATATAGGATGTGTACTTGTTTTCTGTGTTAAATATACTTTTTCTAAACATTCTTGTTCTCTTCCCATAACTCTTTTCTATCTTTGTTGTTGTCAGATCAACATAATCAAGCAATCAATGGTGAAGATTCAAATATATCAAGGTATTGATAGTACAACAAAATTAATCATATAAGCTATTGAAAAACAATTCCATAGTTCATGACCATCAATTGCAAAAGTTTAGGGATAATGAGTCCACAAAAAGTATGTTTAATAATATAAGCTTTAATAATTAACCACAAACACTTAAATTTCAATCACTCTTTTGAAAATGAATACTGCAAATTGTGAACCAAATAGATCAAACAGACTTAAATCTGAGTAACATGTCATTGAAAATATTTTAAATCCTTAACATACTATAGACTGCTCTATAGCTGCATGTGTACCTGAAATGTGACTTTCAGCCCTTCCCTTCAGAAACTAGTGGCATAAAATAAAACAGTAGGAAATAAAAAGAAAATTTCTTTTACTTTCTGATACATTGTTCATTAAAGGAAAGTAGGCAATCAGGTTCAAAACTTACAAATGTAGGCAGGAAATAAAAATGAAGGGTAATCATGTGAAGAAAAATAATCTGACACAGTGAATAGTGGGAAAACAGAGAACTGGATACAAAAATAGACCAATGGATATTTGTAGTCAGCCAATTAGAAATGTCTTTCAAATTTTTTAAATTATTTTCCTTTTGCAAACCAAAGTATCCTGTGCCTGTGCAGTACAATTAAAGCTCTGCTCAAACTAAAAATTTTTTTTTTCTAAATACATAGAGTTTAGTACCCCCCACAAAAAAAGCTATAAAGAAAAAAGAGTCATGCCATTGATTTAAGGTAGAAGGTATAGATTCTTACTAAATATTTTGACTCAAAAGTGTTCTCTGATGCTTTTGAGATACCTGTAGTTATCAAAGGGTCAAGTACACTGCTTTTGTGTATCTCTTAGCTGCTCACCTGACCGACACCATGGCCCAAGGAAGATGTGTCTGGAAACACTCATCAAAATTAATCTGAAAAGCCCTGTATCCTAAAGCTCTCCAACTGACACCTGCAGAGATGGATAGAAAATATAGTGGTTTGTGTGTGGGTTTGACATGAGAAAAAAAGAAAATAGAAACATTCTCCAACATGATAAGTCTTAGTTTAAGAGAGTCTCACAACTTTTTATGATTTACTATTGGTTTTATAGTTAAACTACAGGCATTTTGATCTCTGGGATTTCTACTTAGAATGGCCATAAGAAACATAATTTGAAAACTTATTAACATAGACATTTAATTGTATATATAATATTTATATGTAATAATTATATTGAATATATATGAATAATACATATATATGTGTGTGTATGTATGTGTGTATATACACACATACATACCCTGGGGTATACTGTAATAATAAACAGAAATAAGCAAACTAAATTTAGGAAGATCTAAAATGTCAGGGTGAATGATGGGATTTAGAGCATACAATTGAAATTATCAGCTTTCTGACACTACACCTATTTAACCACTTTGAGAGAAGCTAATGCAGATTTTAATGTCAAGTTCTGATCTCCATGGCAACACTTATGCATGCTAAAAGCACCCACATGGCTCTGAAACTTCTGGGTTTCACACACTGAATCAGAGTTTAATCAGCTCTTTAGCCTACTGGGAATAGGAAAAGTAGGAGAAGCATAAATGGAGTCAGTATCTACTGACAGTTGCAATCTGTCATTTTCATTTACCTAAAGGCTAAATAATAAAGACCTTTCCCAGACCAGAGATTGGAGTTTCAAGCAAAGATTTATCTCTGCGGCTCCAATAAAATGCTGCCACACTCTACTAATATAATAGGAGAAACTCTTAGAAATGTCAAAAGAATTTTCCTTCCCATGTTTAGCTAAATTGTGCTGCTTCCCCCGCCTTCACCTCAAAGTACTGAAAAATTCCAAGTCACTAATAGAGTTATTTGGTAGGGCTGAAATTATATTGGACAGAATATAGTAGTCTATCTATTCTAATTGCTACTTTATTTTATCTACCTATTATACTTTTTTGGGTAATTTTTCCCAACTGTGTAGTTTGCCAATTAGGACAGGACCATGAAATATACATGAAAGTACAGAGGAAGTAACCCATGACATTTTGATATCTTATCATCCATTTTTTAAAAATAATACCAATGCAGAAAAGACCAATTCTGGATTTATGTCTGTGAAATAGTATCAAATATATTTTGTAGCCAAAAACAACTTTTTTCAAAAATATATTTTGTTATGAGCCATGAAAATTCTAAAAATATGAATGAAGTGGATTTTTGAGTTATGAATTTAAGAATTCATGATTCTACTCTAATTCATATTCCATCAATTTTCAATGTATACAAATACATAAGCTGTGTTCAAACTTGATATTTCTTATTTATAATTAATAAATTATAATAAATTAAAAGTTCTTGATTTTGGGTATAATCAGGGTTATAGAGAAGTCATAACCTTCTATTAATCTATAAATATTAATCAAGAAGTCTCCAGAAAGTAAGCATATATCTTAAATAGGATCATAGCCAAACTGATTTTCATGTAGAATGTGGGCACTTGATTCTCTTCCCCCACTGCCATCCGATTCCTTTTTATCATCAGTTTTACTGAATACCATTGAAAAAATTTAATTATAATATAACTTCTAATAATGGTGCCAAAGAGGATACATGACTCTTCTCTGAGGAAAGTTAGTGCAAAAATGGATACAATTCTCAGAAACAATAATTTTAAGGCATTGGATTGACACTAAAGGCATACAACCATTAAGTCTTTCTTAAAATCATTGCAGTAGCTTCAAACAATAATGATATGAGATAGTGGTTCTTGGTGCTTAAAGCTGCGCCTGTCATCTGCTTTTTCCCAACACACACACAGACACACACACACACACACACACACACACACACACAACTCAGTTTGGAAGATTTATAACTTTACCTTGAAAATAAGAGGCTGGACTGTCAAACAGGTCAAACTCAGTCCCTGGTAGAAAGTGAAAACTTAAAATTTTCCTGACCCAATATTGCTTTCTGGTTTGTACAATCAGTAAGCCAGAAATTTATTGGAGGGTATTTTAAATATGAAACAACCTTAACAGTAGTGAGATAAATTCTCCATAGGTAACTGGCTAACTGACAAACCCAGATTTGATGAGGGAGATCTCAGAAAGTCTGGCAAAACGTGAAAGGCAAGGACAATGGAGAATGGGCTACAAATTTTAATGCATGTTTCAACCCAAGCAAAATTGAAGCCAGTTTCATAAGCCACAAATATTTCTGATTCTACTATATGATTTCCAAAAGCAACAATTGTATAAGTTTTAGATAATAGAGAAGTGCTTGA